GAGCATGGCCTAGGTCCTCCCCCATGTGTGTAGGCTGAGATAGTATCCTTCTGTGTGGAGTGGGCTCTCAAAGTTCATTTGTATACTAGTGATAAATACTGATCCACTACCAGAGGCCCCATAGATTTGCTCAGGCCTCCTATCTGACACGGTCAGGGGTCTGAGTCGTTCCTATATTAGTTTCTGAGTCGTTCCTATATTGGTTTCCCAGCTATCAGTCTGGGGTCCATGAGCTCCCCCTTGTTCAGGTCAGCTGTTTCTGTGGCTCTTTCCAGCCTAGTCTTGACCCCTTTGCTCATGAGTCCTCCCTCTCTGCAACTGGATTCCAGGAGTTCAGCTCAGTGTTTAGCTGTGGGTGTCTGCTTCTGCTTGCATCAGCTACTGGATGAAGGCTCTAGGTTGGTATATAAGGTAGTCATCAATCTTATTATAGGGGAAGAACATTTAAGGTAGCATCTCCACTATTGCTTAGATTCTTAGTTGGGTCATCCTTGTAGATCTCTGAACATTTCTCTAATGTCAGATTTCCCTTGTTCTGGTCAGTTGTTTTTGTCAGTTTGACAAAAGCTGGAATCATCTATTAAGAAATTGCCTCCATCAGATTGGCCTGTCCAAATCCATGTGGGCATTTTCTTGTTTTTTGTTTGCTGTGGGAGGGCATATTCCACCCTAAATGATGCCATCTCTGGGAAAGTGGTCCTGGAGACTATGAGAAAAGAAACTGAGTAAGCCCTGGAGAGCAAGCCAGTAAGCAGTATCTTTCCATGGCACTAGTTCTTGCTTCTAAATTCCTTTCTTGAGTTTATTCCCTGACTTACCTTAGTGACAAAATATGACCTAAGTTGTAAGCTTAAGTAAACCCTTTCTCCCCCAAGCTAATTTGGTTATGGTGTTCTCTCATGGTAATAGGAAACCTAACTATGACATTTCTGAAATGGAAAAGATTAAGGTAATAGAAACTTTTGACATACAAGCATGATACATTTCATTGGTCCTGTGGCTCTGTAATCAGGTACTGCATTATAAATAAGCAAAAGTGGTACAGAGGGTGGCAGTTTTTCCAAGGTCACACAGCTCCGGAGAGGCAAAGTTAGGGTTAAAACTTTGTTGTCTTGGATTCAATATATGCAAGTTACATAATTATAATCTTGGAAGTATAGTGTCTTCAGTAAATGCTGTGAATATTCCCATAACCAAAAATCTCATCATAAAACAATTTGAAAGTTTAGTGAAAGTCTTTTTAAAAAATACATGATGAACAGACATGAAAACTATGTTTCTAAATTGGGAGATTCTAAATCATGATGTTGCTGTAATAGTCAGGATGAGATAAGCTTTTTTGCTGTAACAAATTAACCCTCCACCAAACCAGAAGTATGCATAAACATGTGATCTCTTATTTGGCAGCTCTCATTCATTGTACAGTATTTATCAGTAATGTATGTTCTCCAAGTAACCCACAGCAAAGTGTAGGGAACCTAAAAAAACACAGCATACTCTGAATAGGTTAAGTATAGCAATGACTCTCTGTTTCATGCAGATACCACTGTGCAGAATACAATGGCATGGTTCCTCCACTCAATTACAAGGAAGCATGGGGGTGGGCTGGTGTATGTTATACAGCATGACCAAGAAGAGAACAGAGTGTAAAGGGTGCAAGATGGTTTCTCTGATGTGGAATAAGCAATTTCCACCCATTGCTAGAGAGATGGCTAAGTGGTTAAAAGTGAGTTTGATTCAAGGCACCCATGTTGGATGGCTCAGGACCACCTATTTTAATGATATAGAGATAATAAATATAAAACAAACTCAACTGTGCATGTCTTCTGCACATTTATGCTTAGTATATAATAAAAATGGCATTTCAACTCAATTAAAGTTGTTTATTTCAAATAATTAATTCTGAAGGGTAGATTAGAAACGAACACTATATGTATATGCTTGGAATTCTTAAAATATAAAAAAGAAAGTGAAACAATTACTCCTACCACTCACAAAAATAAAATTCATGAATGTGAGGTAACAAAAAAATGGGAAAATACTAACAATACTGGATTAACATACAAAAAGGCAGTTGTATTATCCTGTGGCTTTGTAAACATTGCAAAAAACTCAGTTCACAGAGGTTCTGTGACATCAAAATTAAGATTAAAACATAAGCCTAGAGTAAAAGAAAGTTTGAAAATATATGGCCCGTAAAGTTACCATCCAAAAAATACACACTGTGTGAACAACCTGATGAGGAATGGACAGATGTATTCATAACAGGAAAATGGTCAAAGCACAAATATCATCCACAGAAACAGAAACAGAAAAGGCTGCATCATCAAGCGCAAATCCAAAGAGGAATGAGTTATTTTTCCCATCGTAGAGCGACAATAATGAACATGGATGATGTAGAAAAATCAAGTACCTCATTTATCAATGATGGTATTGTAAACTGGTAGAGCCTCTACAGATGGCCATTTAGTAGATCTATCAAAATTTTAAAATTCATAAACCATTGACCCAGCAATCCCTCTTCTAAGAGTCTGTCTTACAGAACACACACATGTGCGCAGTAATATATCTACAAAGATCTTCATTCTGGCAGTATTTGCAAAAACTAATAGCTACAAATGGCCAAAGTGCCCATCAATAAAAATTAGTTACAAGCATCATGGTGCAGTTGTACTGTACAGTGCCAAATAGCCATTTTTAAAGATGGATCCATAAGTCACTGGCTTGAAAGAAAACTCTAGCAACATTAAATACAAATGCAGATCTTATGAAAATATTTTGTGAATTTTTCATATATATAACCAACCATATGTTTGTGTTTGCATATCTATGTATATTGTATATGATATTCCTATGTAAATTTGTATTTAAATGAGTTGGAGGCATTTTAATAGGAAATATAGCAGATAATAGTGATGACAGTAGTTCAGGAAATAATGAATAGAAAAAAAGTTCCACATTTTACTTTACATACTTTGAGTCTGTTTACGCATTTACTACAAGCGTATATTTAATCACAGCTACACAGGTATTTGTGTATATGAATGGGTAAAGAAAGATAGGAAGAATAAATCCTGTCCTGTTTACTAAGTAAACCATCTCTTCATATTGACTGGGAGCCTTCAGGGATAATGGGTGCGATTAGACTTTATGGAGCACTTGCTGTACGTGCTGCACTCTGGAGGGCAGTCAGTTCACTGGTGCTGAACCTGTGTTGAGCAGGATTTACTTGTATCTAACCGATGTGAAGAAGATGGCAGGTGGGCAATTGACTTCAGCAAGAATCCTGGAGGAGGCCTCTTTCTGGGAGCTCCCTGCTGAACTTTGGAGAGGCAATTGTGATATTTAGACAGGTCACCAAAGCTTCAACACAACACACTGGACAACCAGAGGGCAATCATGAAAGAGCGACAGCCTGCTTTATGCATGAGACTGTCCTGGTTTTTCACTAGAGTGATCTTGAGTCGAGTTGTCAGTGCAGCTTGTGTGTTTTCTGCCTTCATCTGCCTTCCAGAAACATAGCTACATTTTCCAGCATCCATCAGCTACAAGCTCAGCACCATGGCTGCATTTTCCATCCAAACAACTCCACAGAGACTAACTAACTTGTCCTGTGAGTTCCTGAGTCATCTTACAGTGAAATTCGAGTAATCTCTACTGTCTTTGGGAGGAAAGATAAAGGGGAGAGTGCATGCTGCACGATGTTTCAAATGAAACACTCTAACCGGGCTCAAGTGTAAATACAAAATACTAGACTTGGGGAATACCAGGTTTGCAAAAACTGCTAACTTGAACACCAGCTTTGCCCCTCTTTCTATGCCCCTCTATAATATGCTTCATCTTTGAATCCTTCTTTTGATAATGTGTTCAACAGGGGGAATGATATTAATTTTACTTATTTTGTTAAAAATTAATATATGAATTGCCCAGTGGAGAGGACAGGCTTAATACATAGAACACCACATGATTGCTTCTACTGTAATGAATTTGACAGTGTCATTAAAGTCTCATTTTTATAGTCGACATATCATGTGATTCTATGGTGTACTAGTGAATTATGGCCAGATGAGAGGACCTACCTGGGACCAAAGAAAGTAAGTGACTTCTCATGTCCACAGGCCCCAAGCAGCAAACCACACATTTGTCCGGTTCTCTACAATTATGCAGCTTATTCTCTTGCCTGATTGTTAATTTATGCACAGGTTCTCTGTGTACACAGTCACAAAAGAACCAAGAAATGGTGTCTATTTCAATATTGCTAGTTTCTATGTTAATTTTCAGGTATAGAGACCTCCATTCCCCTCTCTCTATCTTCTCTCCTCCACCTCAGTGTTCCATTGTCGTATCAGAAAACCCCTTTCCACTGCAAACATCTTTCAATGGGAAATCTTATTCCTACTCTCCATTCGGATGTCTGTTTGGACCACACAGGAGCACCCCCTTGCTTCGAAGGCATGTCAAGGGCTCATCTGGCTGTCAGACACTGAGAGACCAGGGAAGACTACTAACAATGAAAATGGAACAGAGGTTGTTTTTGTAACTGTGTGTACCATCCATGATCCTGGTGGGTCACCTTTGTTACAAGGGCAATGCAAACTTTAATTTTTTTCTACTGTATTCAACCTTGGTTGATAGATACATAGGGAATAGATTCTTATTTGAGAAACTAGTTGATAATTCCCTGTGAATTTGTTTGTTGTGCTTTTAAACTCTGTGTTCATAGAAAACTGCTCTTACATCTACTTTTTGTATGGATGTGCATGCCAGTGTCCCCCCTCGACTCCTTTAAAATGCCACGAATGACATTTTTTGAATTTATCAATTTTCAGGATTAATGTGCTTCTCTCCAGACACCAGTGCCCTAGATAGGCTCCAACCAAAATAGCTGTCTCCATGCTTAAACTCTGACCAGTTTTTAGGCAAAGGAGGCCCTGGTTTTAGGTCCCATCCATGGGGATAGCTAGCAGATAGAGTTAACTCTTGGCTGTTTTGTCATGCAGATGTGTGGAGGAGTACAAGTTGGCTCCTGATGGCAAATCCTGTCTAATGCTCTCGGATGTCTGCGAGGGACCCAAGTGCCTCAAACCTGACTCCAAATTCAATGACACCCTCTTTGGAGAAATGCTGCATGGTTACAACAACAGGACCCAGCATGTAAATCAAGGCCAAGTCTTCCAAATGACCTTCAGGTATGGGATAGGTGCTTGCTTGCACATTTATAGATTTATAGTCCCTGGCACAGTCTGGGTTCAGGAGGAAAGCAGCGGTGAGGACAAACAGAAACCTGTTGTGTCGGCTATTAGCCTCCAAGGAAAGTTAATGACTACCAGAATGTATTCTGTCAGATGCCTTTCCACTGATCTAAAACTTATTCTACCCTTCTATTCTTCTATTTCTGTAACATACTTTAATTGCAACCTTAAACCATCCTCTTAGTACACCTAATGGAATTTTAAACAATTTAATTAATCTTTTAGTCTATTGAACCCTAAGTATCCTATAGATGTTATTAAAAATATTCAAAAATAAGGACATTTGGTGAATTATAAAATAAAATATTATCACCTAGAAACATTCTGCGTTAAACATTTTTCCAGAATGCTCCTAAAACACCTGTCCCCCTCACTATTCACCTTCTCCCTCTCTGTCTACCTACACATGCATATACATGCTCCTCAAATCTCAGTAGAGCTACTTAGGAAGTGCTTTTTTACCCTAGTAACACAATAAAAGCTTTTTTCCTTGTCAGTGATTCAGTAGTACATGGGTAATTAAAAGAAACACTCATTCAATGAGAAAGAAGAGAACAATGGCTTGGTTTGGCTCAGTTATACAAAGACTCAGCATTTGGGATTTATGTGAAGGGCTTCCTTGGACAGCTGAAGAAACCAAGGTCATTCAGAAAGGGTGGACTGGGATGGAATTTATTTACACTTTCCTAAAGGCCTCTATGAGGATAGAGTGAGAAGTCTTGATCCATGTGGAAAAGCAGATTTTCTTACAACAGCAAAAGGCCCCATGATTTTAGATAAATACCAATGAAAACAAAGCAGAGTCCCTGTTATCACTGTAGAGACTATAAGAATCCACAGCAATATATCATCATCCCATCCATCATCTTATTAATAAAATCAATCATTGTAGTGGGAATGCCAGGTTGGCCATTTTTCATTAAGAATTAGCCTATGTTAAACTCATCTCCACTGTTTTTGATACCAAAAACACCATTACTTCTCACTATCACTTTGCTGATCTTTTCTCCACTCTTACTTCTAATAACAATGATATTGCCATTAGCTTTAATTCAACATATGCCTCAAGTATTTCAGCACTTCACCGTCTATTAAGGTGTATAGTCCTGTTATTTTCTTTCCACAAATGGGAAACAAATTTAAAATAACTTTAAATAAACCTCCTTTCTAGAAAAGTAGAGATCACAGACACTGCCACTTTGGTGAATTAGAACATTGTTGAGTGGCCTCACTTTCTCCTTTACTATTCAAGTGTTAGTGCCAGAAAATTGAGTGACTGGAGTGACTGACAAGTGAGGTTCAGAATCAGGTCTAAGTGTGACTCCAAATCCTTGCTCTTCTAATTCATTTCATCTCCTCACTTCCCATTTTAGAGAATGAGAATGGAAATGTGAATTCTTTGGGAGCATTTATCTTTGTGGTCACAGCATGGGTCTCTGGACAGCTGATTTTTTTCAGATACTGTTTTAGTCAAAGTTCTGTTGGTGTGTAGAGACACCATGACCATTGCAACTCTTATGAAGGAAGACATTTAATTGGGGATGTCTTACAGGCTTAGAGGTTTATTACATTATCATTATGGCAGGATTTACAGTGCTCAAAAAAACATTGTGCTGGGAAAGGAGCTGCATCTGGTTCAGGGGGGAGCAAGGAAAGAGAAAGAGAGAAACTGGACCTGGCATGAACATTTGAAACACAAAGTCCACCCTCAGTGACATATTTTCTCCAATAAAGACACACCTACTCCAGCAAGGTCACTCCCTGTAACAGTACCAAGCATTCAAGTCTATGAGCTTATGGGGGCCATTCCTATTCATACCACCAGAGGTATCAAGCTTCTTATTAAGGACATGATGCAAATGAGACACACCATAACATCAGATACCTTGGCACTTAGTTTTGGTGGCACAGGGACCTTATGTGTTTAAACAATTAACAGTGGACTCTACTATGGTTTGAGCAGAGTTAAGTGTGCCTCTGTTGGGTTAATAGCAATAGTATGGATTAGAGTTGACTGCTGATATGAAGTATCACTTAGCTAAATAATTTGCAGACAAATAGAACTTATCACTAGAAATGGCTTCAATGGAAGATAATTATTCTAATAAGAGAACAAGTTTCCTTGTTTCAGGAAATGAGAGTGTTGTTGAGGGGGAAGATTTAAAAATAATGATAGGAGTTGAATCTGAGGCGAGCCTGAGGGTGTGTCAGACCAAGTCTGTTTTCTAACAAGCATGGGGGAACTCTTAAATCATGCAAAGAGGGGAGTATGCCATGAATAAATTGCATTTTTCAACCTCACTGGAGGGTGTGTGGAAAGTAGGCTGTGTGAAAGACTGTGAAAATAGGGGTGTCAGTCAGGTGTCTGTTGTGGAAGTTACATGACTGAATGTATTGCAGGCTTCAACTAAAGATGATAGAAATTGTAATAGAGAGAAAGGGGATTTGAGAAAGAAATTGTGAGGTCCAGTGAATAGTTGCAAAGGAAGGGGAGGACTGAAAGAGAATTCAAGAGTGAATCAAGTGATTGGCAGCCTCGGTGTAAGTTTTAACAGTCTTAGTCTCTAATTCTCAGTTCTTTTCACTGCTCATGTGTTCAAACCAAAGCTCGATGTGACTTCATTGGAGAGTCTGTGAAAGAAATGGAAGAACTGTCTATATGAACTGTTACCTAAAGCTGAGATTGTACAAAACCGGCTTTCCATAATTTCAGCAGCTAACAAAAATGTCTTGAGTATCATGATGGATAGAATAATGCTGCTTGTAATCCAAAGGGGGGAAAATAAATTACCCTTTTCCTTTGAGGAGGGAAATTACAAGAATAAGAGATGACATACACAATTGAAGAATAAAAGCAAATTTTAATTCATAAAGCAGCATTCTAAGAAAATCTTGTGTTTTCCACAGAGTAGTCATATGAAGCCTTTTAAGAAGAATTAGAAGGAAAAATAAAGAATATTGGGGAGGACAGACATAGGAACTAGAGTTTGAAAGGTTAGCAAAGAATAGTGCATCTTCAGTGACAGCTACGAGAGCATTTTCTTATCTAAGAAAGGGTCTGTAAAGTCCTACATGTATAGATACTTGGAAAGAGATCAGAAAACGGACCCCAGGTACACTTGGATGCATGTCTCAGCCCCATGACAAGCATAACTCTTCTGCCCTATGGTTAATGGCGTCATTTTATCAGGTGCTAGTCATGGTGATAAACACTTCACCTGTTGGATGCTGGTTGATTTCTCATGGTAACTACTGGGGTGTCTGCTGACCCATGAGAAATCATCAAATGTGTCAGTTTTTATTCTATTTTACAAGATGAAGTTAATTCAAACAGAAGACCTAAATGGGTACAAAGCTGCTAAATCCTGAAGAGAGGACAGACAGGGGCTACTGTGTCCAGCCGGATCCAGAAGCCGTCAAGTTTTTCACCATCAAAGACAGTTGTCATTTCTCACCTCCTCCTCCTTCCTCCCATTATCTTCCAAGTACTCTCTGGTCCAGCCTAGAGAGTAGCCCGCAGGCCCTTCCTCCAGCCGTCCTGCCACATGCTTTCTTTCCTGACAACTGCCGGGCTTGAGATAGCTGTATCTGTCCTGGCTACAGCATGTCCACGTGACAGCACAGCTCTGCCTTGTTCTCCTCACTGCTTCTCTCCAGATGACCACACCTGCTGATGGAAGGGTTTTCATTTCCTCCCTTGAAAAGCCCCCAAAAGAACAACCTGGATTACTTTGCAAAATACCTTTAAGTTAATTCTGAGTCAAAGGAGTGCGCAAAGCCAGACTCGTTGAGGCCTAACCTTTTGTTGCCCAGACAGATGGATGTTTGTATGTTGGTATTCGCCATGGATTTGAGACTTCTCTGGAACTGAAATTTAGATTCCTAACTCTCAGACCACAGATCTCTTTTTTTTTTTTTCAAAGTCCTGAAAAGAAGAGAATATGCCACTGTCCTCATATCCTGCATTATCATGCGTTGGGGGCAGCATGTGCTCCATCCCCAAACTCAGAGCCCAGTCACAAGCCAGATGCCATGGGAAGAGGCACTACTCCTGGGGTATCTTAGGCAAAGGGCACCACCAGGAGGCTCCATGTTTCAAACTGCTGTATATAGGCTGCAGTCTGTCCCTGAAGGATGGAGATACATATATATTTATCCCTGCCAGGGCAAGGCTGTGTGCAATGTGTGAGTAGTAAGCACAGTGTAAGCCAGCAGTGTGGAACAAAAGGATCAGAGGCAGGGAAAGGAGTGGAGAAAAGAGGTCAGACTCACGGTGCAGAGCTGTGGAAGGAGGAGCGACGGTGGACGGTGGGAACAATAAAGGCTAGCCCAGAGCAGCCAAAGGAAGGGTTGAGGAAATGAGGAAGGAGAAGAAAACCAGTGCGGGAGTAGGGACAGTCTGTAGGCTGGAAGGGTTGAATCAGAAAAAGAAGGAAGGACGCTGTGTTCATATAACAGTTGAAATGTGCCTTCCCCCGAGAGACTGTGAGAGGCTCGAGGTAAGAGACTGCATGTTTCTGAGAGAGATTAAGAATCCGTTTCAAATGGACGGGAATGGGCATAAAAGCTTTCAGTCAAAATGTCAAGTGCTGTGAAAATGGGAAGAGCCGATGATCTCACATCAGAATTGCCCCTAAACCCAGCCAGGGGTCCGGCTTTCTTTCTAATCCTTTTTGGTGCAGCATTGGTCTTAATGACCCAGGCAGAGATGCTATCTGCTTCCTCCTTCCCTTAGTTCTTGATCAGTGTGGGGATCAGCAGACCTGTGGGAGTGAGATAAACTCATAAAGCTGACGGCATTTAATGGTTTTTTATTTGTTTGTTGTTTTTACTCCAAACCTCTTCTATCCATCCTATTTCATTGCAATAGGGAAGAAAGGTCAACTTGAGTCATAGCTTGTGGAGAGTTAGATAAACATTAGTCAGGAACTATTATT